TAAAAATAGTGTGTCATTAATTTGAGATGATCAACAAGGGGAAATTTGTTAATAAATAAATTAGCAGTAATGAATAAATTTACTTGGGAAAATCCAGATTTTTAAGTCTTGATCGATAGTTTATTGCCGCATAAATCATCTTTTTTGATAGCACAAACTCGACAATCATTTTTCATATCAACAAAATGTACATTTTATCTGCCAAATATTAAAGGCTTGGCCCAGGTCCTCGAGATGTTCTCGATCCGTCAGCAGATTTAAGAAAAATGAATCAAAGGAATCAATAATTAGTAACAACCACTTTTATATACGTGTACGAAATTCTTTATATAAGTTAATCAAGATTATTAATAAATTTCAGGTTTCTGGTCTGCTACGTGCTTCAAAAATTGTAAAAATCAAAAAAAAATTTTGCGCTTAAAAGCGCGTCACATTGAGAACTTGCATTCCAATGAAGAACAAAATAAATTAAAGGTAAAAAACCTGAACTAAACTGATAAAGTAACAAATATTATTCAAGAATTAACAAAAGAACAAAAGCAAAATGATAGCCAAACCAAACCAAGTAGAAGATAATTGATTGAATAAAACCTGACAATTAAGAAGCCAAGGGCAAAATAAATAAAGAATAAGCTCGGCATGGCTTATGAATTTGATTAATCAATAGCTTATATTTATATTATAGAGGGTATAATTAATTAAAAAGTTATAAAATCATTCGTTATGTCGTCAAGATGATTAAAATTTTATTATTGAGCTATTATTTAATTGACTAATTATAATGGTAGACTAACTTTTAATTAATTAAACACTATTACTATAAAAAGATTTGTTTGATATCAGTGGTATTGAATACCAAACCACATGTAACGCATTTACGATTTTGAGCTTTTACTTGTGCATCCAAACATTCTTTGCAAAAAACGTGCATACATTTTATAATGCAGTGGGATTTGAATCTAGTAACACATATTGAACATTTCAACAGTCTCTAATGAATATAATAGATTTGTTAGAAGAAATTTATGATAGTTGTCCATAAAAAAAAAACTAAAATCATCATTACCTCATAATTATATGCTAATTGTGCAGATATGTTTGATTGATTATTATCTAGTAGTTTTGCTTTTTTCTTGGAAATTTCTAATTCTTCATTTAATCTCCTAAATTTAAATGATACATTTTCATATGATCTTGTCAAATTATCATATCTTTTTTGAAGCTGTTATTTCATCATTTAATGTAAATGTAGAATAATAAAATGTTATATTCATGCGTCAAAATAATAATAATAATAATAATAATATTGAAATAATATTTTATTACATCTATATAAGAATTGTATGTTTTATCTATTTTTTCTTTCGTTTCTTTTTGTCGTTGAGTCATTTTAATTAATTGGAGTTCATAGGCATTAATCACTTGTTTAGAGCATGCCATTTCTTTATTAGCATTTTCCTGACAATCAAAAGTCACAATAATTAATTACATCTATGTGTCATTAAAATATGAGAGTGTGCGTGTGTGTATAAATTACAAACCAATTGTGATTTAAAATTATTTTCCAAGAGTTTCATTGGTCGAATACAATCAGTCTGGCTTTGAATAACTGTGAACAAAAGACTTTTCAATTTTACTAATGATGCTTGTTCCGTCCAGGCAGCATTCAATTTTTGTCTAGCATTTAATTCCTAAAGGTTTGTTCATATTTAATCAATAATGTAAAAAAACAAAATAAACAAAAAATTACACACGTAAATATATTTAATTAATGATTGGGGTTTGTTTAAAGAACATACAAGCTCCATTGCAATCTGTATTCTTTCATCTTGTGCAATAATTTCAAAGACTTTTTGGATATTTTCTTCATCTTTACGTGTCCAATATTCGCCTAAAACTTGAATTTCTTGTAATAATTCTTTCTCACTCTTAAAACCACCATCAATAATTAAAAATAAATAAGAAATATATAAAAAGTGCACTTGGTAATCACAATAAAATAAATATATCTTACTTTTTTAAGATAACAACATTCAGTTTCTAATTTTGAGATTTTTTTCGCTGATTCCTCTATTTTTTTTTGTTAAAACATGTATTGGATCATTACTTGGATCATTCATTCCATATTTTTCATCATATTTTTCTAATTGTGATTTTATCTTATCAACCTCTCTTTTATATTCAAATTCAGTGATTTTCATTCTTTGAAATTCCCGCATGTATGGAGTCGCATTATTCATATAATCTTTTAATTGTTGTTCCAATTTAGCTCTACTTTCTTCTGATTGTCTTTTTCGCATCAAATTGTAAGCATACATAGTTATTATCTACAGCAATTTTTTGTAATAATAATTTAGAGAAAAACAAAGAATGGGAGAGAAGGCTTTACAATACTTTAATCTTTCTTGCAAATGATAATCATATGATAATTTTGTTGAATAAGTTCAAATGTGTTGGCACCTGATTTTAATTCATTATAAGAAAATTCAGGAGGTTCGACAGGATTACAATAAAAATCCACAGCATCTTTGATGCCAACTTGTGCTGCTAACTTCATATGTAGTCTTCGAATTTCATTCGTTAATTGCTTTATTATAATTTTACGATCATCTGAAATCACCCTCAAAGCATTTATTTGATAAAAATCTTTAGGTGAAGTTGCTCTTAACTTGTCCGCCTCTATTAATCACATCATCTCTTTGAGCACAGAAACTATCCAAATCTGTGAGAAGTTTATTTAGCTGTTTTTTTACATCATTTTTAGCTGCCTTACTTTCTTCCTAAATAATTAGCAGTTTAAATATACACTATCTGGTGCAAAAAGAATGCAAACTCTATATTAAAAAATAAACCAACTTGTATCTGGTTTGTTGCTGAATTCCTAGTAGCTATCAACTTTTCCATTTCACAACTATTTTGCTCCATAAATATATGTAAATGATCCAAATCTTCTTTGCGATAAAGATATTGATGTAGTAATTCTTTGTATAATGGTGATTCTATCACTTGAGAATTTGAATATTTTTTATCTAATATAAATAAAAATACATATATTTTTAAAATGTCACATTATAATGTATTAATGATTGATTAATTGATTGATTGATTGACTGATTGATTGATTGATTGATTGATTAATTGATTGATTGATTGACTGATTGATTGATTGATTGATTGATTGATTGCTTACTTGCTCACAAAGTTTATTAATTTCTATTTTTAAATTAGCCTTTTCTTTTGACATTTCTTTTAATTCTCCCAAACGAGACTCGGAAAGTAATTGAGACTGAATTAATTTGTTTTCTAACGGTTTTGACTATAGATTAATTAAAAAATTTTATATTAAAATCATATGGATTTTTTTTTCACAAAAAAAAAGTAAATGTTGGGAAAAGAAAACTCATGAACATTATTATCATTATATTGTGATCCTTGTAAATTTTGAGACTTAACATCAGATAAATATCCATGAGAAGCACTTTTTGATCTATCCATATGTTTCTTAGCTTGTCTTAATTGTTCCTCTGTTGATTCTAATCTCTGTTTTTCTTCAAGTTTATTTTTTGTCATCTGTAGTTCGTCTTTGAGAGCATTTATCTTTTAACAATATTAACAATAATAATTTAATAATAATTATAGTAAAATCATCATAATAATAATCACAGCCATTATCATTACCACAAATGACTTGGTGTGAAATTTTTATGGAATGCATCAATTTTTTTAATAACATGTATATAAAGTTGATTCAATCTTTGGTTTTCTGATTGTAGTGAATTCATTAATCCATTTTCACTTAATGTAGCATCATCAATTTCATATTGTAAATCTTTAATGAGATTATTTCTTTTTTCAATCCATAAAATAATTTTTTCTGAAAGTTGTATCACTATTTCCTTTGCAAAAATACATTCATCAATCATCATATTTTCAGTTTGCTCAATTGATGGACACTCGTTATCAATTTGAATAAGTCTTTTAAGAAAATTTGAATCACGAAGTTGTGCTTTATTTTGTTAATTATTCACCCATAAGCAGAAATAATATATGTAAATATGATCAAAAAAACCATAAATTATATGTCATTATTAATTATTGTAAATAAATAAATCTAGATTTAAATAAATATATACCAATTGGAGGAGTCAAGTTAGATAAATTACCATTATCATCCACTCTATCAATAATCATCTTCAAATCAATTAATAACTATTAAATCAAGTAATTATTAATATTTAAAATAAATAAAAAATAAATCACAAATGTCAAAAAAAAATCCACAGATTAAACAAACTTGTTCCCAATGTCTATTGACTAGACTTAAACGGTCATCATAATTATCTTGTTTTCTGTCAAGCTGTTTGTTCCATTGATACACATGTTCTGCTTCGCGTTTATATTCTTGTAGAGCACAGTATATAGCTTCTTTTTGGTAAGTCTAATTAACATTATTTTGAAAATGCATTAATGACAAATAGAACTATTTGTTTCTGAAAAATTATTGACTTCTAACCTCTAGCCAATTGGGATCAGAAATAGCAAAATCCATCTTTGCTTGAAATTATAAATATAAATATCGGAAAATGATCGCGATTAAATCGAACGTGATGTGTGTACTACCTGTACCACTGAAATATAAAAAAATGCAGATCTTCTAGAAAGCAACATTTTATAATTATAAAATTACGTTAAAAACAAAAAAAAAAAATTATTTAGCCCTTTTATTATGAAATTTGTTGTTATCAATTTTTTCTTCTTTCTTTATTTTGAAATGTTTTCGGGATTATTCTATTATTATTTTGTCGTCAATTTCTTTATTTTTCATTTATTAACATTTTTATTTACTTGCTTCTTTTAGTCGGAACTCCTTTTGCTAATTTTCTTTCGGTTTAAAGCAAAATTTTCTATGGGCTTTCTTTGGAAGTTTACTAAGTTTTTACATTGTTATATTATTATATTATTATATTGTTCACATTTTTCATCGTTTCTTTTTATATAATTTTTTTTTTTTGTATTTCTTTCGATCCTCTTGGCCAGAGTTGATCCTTCCTTGCTTTTCACTTGTCCGTTTCTCTTTTCTCTCAGTAAAAGATGAACTGTCGGCCGATACCCTTTTGGATTCCTTTTAATACCCATTTCTTTGATCATTGGATGACCCTAACATTAATTATCAATATTTTTAAATCTTCCCTTTCTTCTGGTTTCAAGTTTTGTTTGATTATCCATCTTCTTTTCTTATTACTGGTTTCTCAACGTTCTTCAGTTTATTGAAAAGAATTGTCTTGTTGATGTTTGATGGCTTGTCATTTGGTAGGTTTTTATAATATTTTCATAATCCTGAGAACGCATGAATTAATAAGAAAGTATAAATTTTGTTAATGATATTAGAAGTAATAAAGTAAATTTTGAAATATATTTAATATTTATTGATTGATTCGTATTTATTGATATTTATTTATGAAATAAATTTCCAATTATTACTGTCGTTATTGTTATCATTACTATTACGCAGAAGATCAAAATAATTGATGCCAATAAAATAAATTTGAATGGATCAGACTAAATAAGCCTTTACCATCGAATGATTATAGATTTTATTTAATATATGTTTATCAAGTCGAAACTTTATTCTTAAGCCAAAGCTTGTTTTCTTTGCAAAAAATTGAATAGCGTGTAACAAGCAACTTTCTCGTACTCACTTACGTTTTAATGGTTTCTTTTTGGTAAGGAATCTAATAAATTATTTGAAAAATTGTATTATTTAAAGAACAACTTTAACATAAAAAGGATTTTAGCATTATTTGTTTTCTATTTTGACACTTTATAAAACTTCAAGTTAAAACTTACAAAAACCTTGTCCTGTCTATGTCAAACTTGAGCATTCAAACGCGCGTTTATTTTATTATTACTATTACTGTGTACTTACTATTACGCATAGTTAAACAGAAACACTAATTCAACACAACCAACTTCTACATATTGATGTTGACATACCAACATGTGTTTCAAACTCAGATAAAGACAATTCGAACGCGATTTGATCTTTTTCATTTATGAAATGTGTGGTCAAGGTAAGTGTTAAGGACAAGATCTGCATAGCTTTCAAAGCAAGTTTTGCAAATATATTTTATCAATTATTCAATAGTTTGTATAGATGTGATCGAAGGAAAGATCTACGAAGCTTGTAAAGCAAGTTTTGCAAAATATAATAGTGAATATTATTCAATATTTTGTATAAGAGTGAACGAAGTAAGTGTTAAAGGCAAGATCTAACCAGTTATTCAATAGTTTGTATAGACGTGATCAAGGTGAGTGTTAAAGACAAGATCTATGAAACTTGATTTGCAAGCTTCATAGATCTACTGATGAATGTTTTATCAATCATTCAATAGTTATATTAATTATTTACGTATAAAAATTCTCTTTTATTTTAACTTATAGATAAATAATTAAATGAATAAAGTCAGAGATGAAGCACCTTTTAATTTAATCATTATTGTTCGTTGTTTGCTTATATTATCTAATTATTCTAATCATTATTTATGTAGGAATAAATGTAAAGAAAAATTTTAATATCTTGTACATTTATTTTCGCTTTTGCTTGGCTAAACAAATTTCTATACATAGTCAAATTTGACTTTAAGGCTGAGATTATTTTCGGGTTTGTTAGCGACTTGCTTCAAACTTTTTCTTAAAGCAGATACACATGATAAAGAAGTTATGTGTCAAATTTGGCTACCAGGAAATAAAACTCCCATTGATCTGCAGGACATGAAGCACTCGGCGCAGCAGAATTTTTATTTTTCATGAATTAGACAACATTGTATAACAATAAATGATCTCATGGTTTGAATATGCTCGCATAGCGTACACTTGAATTTATCTCTATTACTTGATGATGGATAGGAACGTTGTGAATAAATGTAGAAGGTCGAGTTACATGGGCCAAACTAGTCTGAGAGGAATGTCTCTTATGTTGGTGTTACGAAAAAAAATGTGAGGACGGCTTTCCTATTTATATGTTTCGAATTTAATAAAATTGTCTTGTCATTTTTTTTTACTCTTTGCGACGAAGAAGATGCAATCCTAGTCCAACTTAACTTAAATGTCGACGTGATGTTAAAATAATGAATTTTTGTTGTGGCATGTGTGATTGTGCAATAGGTAAAAAGTCATTGCGTTCTTAGTTGTAAACTTGTTTGTTTTCTTACGTTAATTATAAAAATTTTGTTCATTAAAGAAAAAAAAAATAAAAGATCCTAAATTATTATATTAAAAATCTCAAGATTTGTTTTTCAAAAATAATCGAATTTTTTTATACAATCTCGGAACCTAATACTAAGCTATAATTTGTGTACCTAATACTTTTTTTTTTTGTCCAGGCACTGGATAATTAATAATATACTGTATCGTAAAACGTTCTTGAATTTATTTGATTTTATGAATGAATCAATATATAATTTCAGGGGTATTTAGAGATCCCTTTTTTATGATTTGTGATTGGTCATTCATTTTTAATTTTCAAAACAAGGCTATTTTATAGCTGGGTTTTTTGTGTTGGTATAGGCCACCAATTTATCCGTAATGAATTTCTGGTACAAGAACATAATAAATTATATGAATATTTTAGTTTTTTTTTGTGTTTATTAATGATTAGAAAATTGTGAGGAAATCCCCATTCTGGAAAATGAGAAATTTATCATTACTATTACTAGCCCTGCAAATTAATATTTCTGTTGTAATAACATTCTCTCATCTATAACCAAGTATTAATGACACTCAATCCTTTACTTTATAATGAGGCTCGATATTTGATACTTAATAGATATTATGAAAATAAGTCTTTGTAAAGATTCATGAAAGTCATGTTTTATTGGTTTGAACAAATTTATAATAATTTATAAACAATAAATAAACATTTGAAATAAAATGGCCTTTTTCATTTCTTACAAACTTTATTAAAGTAAAATTGAAATTTTTTTAATATCCTCAATTTTCGTTATTAGTATTAGTATTAGGGCTGTGTGTAACCCATACTGAAATACTGTAGAAATCAGCAATTATTTGACACAATACTTTCTTATTTGGACATTTTATTTATTATTATTATTAACATAAAAATGAAATCGAAGAATTTAGTTTTTTTAAAATAAAAAATAATGACAAGCAAATTCATTTCTACCAACATAATTTAATTGTTACTATTATTATTACTAGTATTATTATTATTATTATTGAGATTGTTAATTATAAAATAATTATTTAATAATGGATTCGACGTGTTAACAGTAGTTATGGCTTGTAGAAATTGTACGTAACGTGCCTCAACTTATAAATAAAAAAAATCAAATAAATTAATTTTAAAAAAAAAATTTTAGTAAATATCAAATGTACAAACAAATATTGAAGATTTTGTTACTTTGTGGACGTCTGTATAATCTAAGTAGTTTTTGTTGCTTCCTAATTTTTTCCTTTAAGAGCCTGTCCCGACAACAATTATTTCCTACTTTTATGCAGTTATCACAAACTGCTTTGTCATCGCATTTAATGTGTTTAGCACTACATCGGCAACAGGCATTATTGGAATATTTATATTCAGATCCAGTTGGACATTTCCCATACTTTTTATCTCTAATATATGGATCTTCATAATCTTGAAGACTTCCATCTTTTATGTATTTCATTACAAAGATATATTCTTTTTTGTAGCTGGATCTTGTGTTAACCCATAAATTTTATTTATAAATGATTTACCATAAAATGTGACATAATTTCTAAACTATATATAAAAAAAAAAATATTGAATTCAGAATAATTCTGTGAATTATGTAACTTTTTTAATGCCACAGTCTTATTTTCACTAATTCTTTCATAATTATTATAATCTATACTTTTATAACCATTTAACCAAGTAGCTTTGGACACAGTTGCAAACCCACCTTCATCTATCTTTTCAATGTTTGTTAATCATTATAAGGAATCCATTGAAGATAATTATCATTACCATATCTTGTTGCTTTAAGTTGTGTACTTTTAATCAACTCATCTAATATTTCATTGCCACTAGTCCATCCTTCAGTTAATAGCTTTGGAT